GGGGGGCGGCGTACAAGGAGAAGAGAGTTAAAGAGCACGGCCTTCAGGGGTTGGCGGGGACGGAATTCAGGAGAGTTAGAAAGTCACCTTCTATTCAAGCCTGGCGCTGAGCTATGAGCTAGAGAAGCTCAGAGCAGTGTGCGGGGCCTGGTGCTTTTTAAACCCTTGAGTGGTGGGCGTTGTGTTTTGTTTTCTGTGGGTGCGTTTTCAAAGGTCAGCAGTTTGAAACCGCCAGCCGCGCCTGTGCGCCTTCTTCTCCCGTCAAGAGCGGTACCGCCTGGGAAACTCACGGGAGCCGTTTCTACCTTGTCCTGTTGGGTCGCTATGGGTCAGAGTCGACTCCATGGCAGCGCATGTGTTTTTGTGTTGTGTGTTTTCATGACAGAAAAGGCTCAGGCAAGAGTTGCTGCGGTCCGGGGTGCTGTCTGGTCCCTCTCAGCCCGTGGGGATCCCGTAGGACCGAGTCGATCCACACCAGCACTGGCTCACGGCTGCAGTTTATAACTAAATAGAAGCTCTGGTGGTGTGGCAGTTAAGCACCCCACGGCTAACTGCAAGGTGGGGTGGCGGTTGGCATGGCCCTGGGATGCATGGTTATGGGTGGCTCTGTTCCTTCCTACTGGGTTTCGGGGCATCAGAAGCCACTCGGTCACAATGCGGAATTTTTGAGGGAGATGGACAGGCCTTTCCTCCACGGACCCAACCAATGGCCTTCGGCTTAGCAGGTGAGCATTTATTCACCGATTCACTGAGGGCCCTTGCACAAATGAGGCGGGGCTAGACAGGAGGGGAGGGGCTTCACAGAGCAACGCCCCCCTCAAGGCAGGGAGCGCCCCCGCCCCGCCTCGCACCTGGGCTGTGATGCCATTGTAGAAGGCGAACCAGATCTGGGACATCATGCTGGCCAGCGTCTTGTAGATGAAGTAGCGCAGGAACTTGCAGACGCGCAGGTAGGACCAGCGCCCGTGAACCAGCAGCAGGCGCTGTAGGTAGGCGAACTGGGCCAGGACGTAGTCGCTGTTCTGCACAGCCTGCATGCCCTCCTGGCCCGCCAGTCCCACACCGATGTCTGCCGCTGCAGGACAGCGCAGCCTGAGGCCCAGGCCAGCCTGGACGCCCTGCCCGGCTCCCGGTCCCCAAAGCCACCCCCGGAGCCACCCCACAGCTCCTGCATCGGCCCCCGACCCCAGCCCCCCTTGTCCTGATCCCCACACAGCCCCTGGACTGTCTGTCCCCCATTCCCCAACACCCTCTCACTCTCTCCACCACCCCTTGGGCCTCGCACACACCCTCATTGCTCCTTACAGGGCGTCCCTCCCCATCTCCATCTCCCACACTGTCCCTGCCCTCCCTGGACCCTGGTCCCCGAAGGACTGTACTCTCCTGACAGCCCCACCCCTGGGACAGTCCTACCCCCAGGACTGCCCCACTTCCGACAGCCCCGCCCCTGGGGCCACCCCATCTCTGACCAAAGGCGGGCCGCCAGCCAGGCACTCACTTTTGATCATGTTCACATCGTTGGCCCCGTCCCCAATGGCCAAGGTGACGCCGCCCTTGTGCCTCTTGATGAGCTTCACGATCAGGGCCTTCTGCTTGGGCGTCACCCGGCAGCAGATGACCGCCTGGCAGCGCAAGGCCAGGTCCACGAAGGCCCGCTCGCGCTGCACCTGGAGGCTCTCGAGGGGCTTAGCGCTCTCCGAATCTGCGTAGACCCCCATCCGGCAGGCCCTCAGCTGGCTCACCACGGAGCGCCACAGCCTGGGCAGCCGCCCGGTCCACCACGTGTCCTGCGGCTGGCCGGGCTCCTGCCAGGACTCCTCCACCTGCCCTGTGGGGGGCAGGCTGGCCTGGGGCTTTTGGTACAGGTCGGGGGTCATCAGCTGGTCCTGCGGAGGAGAGGGCCCGTCACGCTGGGCCTGCAGGCCCTGCTCGGTTGCTCCCCAGCCCACCAGCCCGAGGCGGGGAGCCTGGCTGGCAGCGACACTGACCAGGAAGTCCCCCGTGATGACCATGGCCGTCTTGAGCTGCAGTGGGAGGCGGATCTTGGAGGCCTGCAGGTTGCTGTCGCTGTCGCAGCTGGCATCCATCCTGCGGCTGTGGGGGCAGCCAGCGGGGGCGGGGAAGAGCCACATCACATCACTCGGCCCAGTCTTGGCCCCCTGGTGCCCGCGTGGCCCTCTCCCCACGACTGGGAGACGCCCCTGGGGGCGCCCTCTGGACAGGGTGCTGGCCTGCACCCCTTCCGACCAGTCCTTCCTCCCGCCCCTCCCCTCTCACGTGATCTCATTCTCCTCTAGGATGACCATGTCCTCGGTGAGCAGCTGGCAGGCAAAGCCGATATTCACCGCTGTCTCTGCAAGGAGGGGGCGCCGACGAGTCCCGCCAGACCCAACCCACCCCCACCCCCCACCAATCACAGCAAGCACGCTCCGGCCGGGCCGCCACGAGTGGCTCGGAGAAGGGCCTGTCAACAGTGCTGGCCAATGAGAGCCAGCCCTGAGACTCCGGCTGTAGTTTTGTGTCCACTGGCTCCCTGTGGGGCAGGGGTTGCTGGAGAGGATTGTGAATGGGACTCGGGGTGGGGGGCTGCAAAGAGGGCCCTCGAGAAGGCCCAGGCACCAAGGACTAACTGACCGTGCTTCGGGACCCGGAGGAAGGTCTTCATTCATTTTTTAAATCATCAGGGGGGACATGAACGCGATCTGACCATTCTTGTGAGGTGTGGCCTAGTGATGGCTTGTTGGGCTGCTAACAGAGCGGCCACTTCTCGGGAGAATGATGAGGCTTTCTAGTTTGGTAAAGAGCTAGAGTCTGGGCAGTGAAAGCCCAAAATCCACTTGCAGAGTCTCCACGTGGATTAAGCCTCTGGAGAATCCCCTCTGACCGCTGGCCAGCGATGTCAGTCGCCTGGCCATCAGACAGAGCACAGTGGAAAGTGGATTAATGCAGATGTAGTTAGGTTAAAAGTTAAGACCTTGTCATTTGTTCTCCCTGTTGACCCTTTTAAAAAATATATATATTTAGCTTTCATTCTTTTTTAAAATATATATATATTTAGCTTTCATTCTTTTTTAAAATATATATATATTGAGCTTTCATTCTTTTTTAAAATATATATATATTGAGCTTTCATTCTTTTTTAAAATATATA